TGTTATGCTATTAACATTTGGTGTACCACTAGAATTGTGGGGAAGTCATTCTAACGACTAACTATATTATCAATAGAGTACCACACAAGAAGACAATGAATATCCCTTACAAAATGTGAATTGGTAGAAAGCCTACCTTGAGTTATCTTAAAGTGTGGGGGTGTATAGCAAACGTTGCGATTCCTAAATCGTAAAGGGTTAAGATCGAAGCGAAGATAGTAGACTGTGTGTTCATTGGATATGCACATAATAATGGTGCATATTGATTGTGATGCAGGTTGAATCATCGACTTTAGTGACACCAAGTCCACAATTGGGTATGTGTACACACTTGGAGGGGGTGTTGTGTCTTGGAAATCATCCAAGCAAACATGTATTACAAAGTCGACCATAAAGTAGAATTTATTGCCTCGAATAGAGTCGAAGGTGTTGCCGAGTGGCTATGTAACTGGTGTTGCCAAGTGGCTATGTAACTTCCTTGAAGGTATTTCAAATTGGCTGGAATTAGTGTTTGCTATATGCATCCACTATGATAGAAAGGGAGCCAACGGAATTGCAAGGAGTGTTATATATAATGGTAAGTGCAATTACTCTCTAGTGGTATTAGTACAGATCCGCTAACTAAAGGTTTGACTATAGAGTAAAAGCAAAATTTGTCTAAGGAATGAGTTTAAGGCCATGAAAATGTTGATCATTATGGATACTTAGAAGAGTGGAGATCCCACGAACTAGTTTCAAAGAGAAAATCAAGTGATGATTGATAGATAAACACTGTGAAATTTTTTTAAATAATTCTCATTCTTAGATATGAGAAGGTAGGTTTTTAATGAGGTAAGCAGGTAGGTTTTTAATGATTTCTGATTCTGATGTGTTTAGACAATATATATTGGGATGCATTGCCAGAAATCACCTATGTGGATGTGAAGTGAAGGCCACTTCTATGAGAATATTATAAGGCCATATTCTCTAATGCACCTGCAGAACCAGGAGTGTCTAAGGTCAAAATAGACACAATTAGAGGACCATGTCCAAGGAATAATTGTGTCTTTCTTATTGTCTTGGTTTATACATAAGGGTAACGATTACAACGTGTCGCGTCCATCAATTAATCGAGTAAATATCACTAGGAACGGTTACAAGGAATTGCATCCACCAAACTCGGTGCAGTTGTTCCTCATTGATCAATCACCCATTGCGTTTGAGTCTCATATGCATATGGTCTCGATATTGAACTTCTTATTCATGTGGGGGATTGTTGGAATTGATTCTGAATTTATTATGTTTATGAATAAGAAGTTTGATATGGAAAAGATATATCTTTTCTTCGTTTAACGGATATGTCTTTTCGTCGTCGAACATGTGTCTTTTTGTCGTCGAACAAATGTGTTGTTTAAATTGTGACCTTATAGTTTTTATAAATAAATAGAAATCAAAATTTTAAGAGAGTTTTTTTTTCTATTGGTATTGTACATTCATTTTCATTCCACTATTGATCTAGTGTAATTGGTTAGACATAGATTATGTTCGATGTGGCTATTCTATGTGGAAGTGCCACCACGAGAATAGAGATAAATTGTTTTATCCTGTGAGGCAATTGTCCACGAATCTTGGGCTCCACAGAGAGGGCAAAATTGTCTTAAGAATACAATGTCTAACACTGGGCTCAGATTTTTTCTTGTTGCATTGTTGCTACTCACGGCAAGTGCACCGATCGTACAAGTAATATATGATTAAGTAAGAGATCGTTCCCACGAGGATTACGGTTCAAGCACTAATTCACTATCGCAAACTTAGTTGGACAATCGAAAGTGTATTTGGAAACAGGATTTGAATTGTAAAATTAAAATATTAAATATTAAGCTAATTACTTGCAAGAATTAAAGACAAGAATTTAAAGATGTGATTTAAGAATGTAAAAGAACGTAGCTAGGGGTTCGATTTCCTTTAATCTCCTTATTATGATTCAAAGTCCTTCTTTACGTTAACCGTCCTTAATATCAATCTAACCAATTCTTTCGCGTGTTATTAGAGCTCAATCCCTTGTTACCCTAAAACCTTTACAAACTTGAAAGAACCCTAGTTCCCCGGTTATTCCCCAAGAATGCAAGCATTAAGTTCAAGAATCTTAAGGTTACGCAAATTCTATGTCTATTCCTAGAATCATAGCGTTTACGATGAAGTTATCAGATATGGATCACACACCAACATCCCTATTGTCATGCATTTACCGATGATCATTATATAAGATTCAAGCCTATATAAAGCATTAAAAACAGATAACTTCATTCATGATAAAAAGGAAAATTAACGTACGAATTATTCAAAGCATAATAAATCGACTAAAATCCATCTAACTCTAACTACTTAAAGAACTAGCCGGACATGGCAAAATCAAGAACAAAAGAAAATAGAAAAGCTCCCCCAAACTCCATAGGTGATTGGTGGATCTTCAAAATCTCCAGTGAACACTTGACGTTGATCCGTCTCCGCCGCTCACGAACATGAATCTGATGTTTCTTCGCGTTCCCTCCGCCTCCAAGCACCCAAGAGTTGTTTAGCAATCTAAAAGTTATTCTTCTGGTTCCCAATGGTGTTTTTTTATAGGTCAAGAGTTTGTATCTTGATGAAACACCTTGAATGGGCCTAAGTTGGGTTTCTGGGGCGCTTAAGCTTGCTTCATCGCGCTTAAGCCCCCTAGAACGGTGATTGCAGAATTCGCGTTGCGCGCTTAAGCGCGCTGTAGGGCGCTTAAGCGCGATCTTCCAGTCAGAATTTTCTTCTTCCAGCGCGCTTAAGCCCTGAGTTAGGGGCTTAAGCGCCCATAGGCCGAGACTTTTTGCGTATTTTGGAGGCTTAAGCTTCCTTATTGGGGCTTAAGCTTCCATTGGCAGAGGCTATTTGCTTGTTTAGGAGGCTTAAGCTTCATGATGGAGGCTTAAGCTTCCTCTCTAACAACTTGATAAGATCTTAAATCTATCTTGTTTTTGATCTTCCTCTATCATCTCTTGATCTCATATCTTCTAGTTGTGATCTCTATCTATCCAATCTTCATCTTTTGACTCCTTTTGTCAACAAATCCCTAAAAAATAGCAAGGATGATTCAATTAAACAAAAATTCAGATAATGTTCATGATTATCCTATTAAAACCCTAGTTTTTGACTTGTTTAATTAGATAATTCATATTATTTTAGTCCATAAAACAAGATAAACTAAAGGTTTATCAAACAATTCCCAAATTTGAACATTGTTGTCCTCAGCAATTAATTAGAATAAAACTATGGGAAAGGTTTGGAGACGGCTAATCATACTTAGTGAATAGCAGACAAGAAACTGATCAATAATGAGATATCCAAGTATTCAGACTTTATAAAAGTCAATGACACATCAATTTCAAGCAAACAATCATAATTCATCAGTCATAAAATCATAACATGCGTTCTCAAAAGAAAGAGTAGTTTAATTCAGATCCACAACACCCTCTCACTAGATTTTTATTTATTCATTCACAATCAGTGTTTAAGGGCATGTGTTTCACTCTTACTTTACTGAATTAACACTACCATAAGCTTGTTTATATTCTCACTCTCCACAGTCTTACTAGTATACAAAGTCAATCCAGAGGTCTTTGTTAAGGTTGTAACGTGGCTTTAGGGAAAAGGAAAGGAATCATCTGGGTAAGTGGCTTAAGAACTGATCAAAATTCAACTTCAAAGAGGAACTAGTTTAACTGTTCAACAAATAGTAAACAGATTTCTCTTATTTTTCTTCTCTTTTCTTCTTCCACTTATTCATATAATATGAGTCTTTTATTTCTTTTCCTTTTTCCTTTTGTTTTTCTTTTTCTGTTTTTGTACAGATACACATTTCAACCTTTTTCTTTGCTTTTCTTTTCCACCACTTTTTGGCTTTTTCCTCTTTTCACCCTTTTCTCCCATACACTTAGAGTTTGATTTTCTCTTTTTGTTTCAATCATATCTAGTCCCTCATTTAAATTTGAAATTTAATCAGTTCAGGTGAGGATGTGTATAAAATGGCTATTCACAATAAGTTGTCAATGAATAAATAGGCCTAGGCTCAAAGGGGCTTCAACTAAGGATGAACATCAGGGTGGCTATTTGGCTATCTAGCTTTTAGAAAGAACTGCCTCTATCATTTCAACAATTGTATACTACAGACCATTTCAAAGAGAAACAAAACAAGTTCTAGAGTGATTCAACAGTAAAGTTCACACCACACAAAAAATTCTGTTTAGGCTCAAAAGCTTACGGCTAAGGATGTGAGACTTATTTTTCCACTCTCTCTTTGATTACTCTAGTTATTCTTCTCTTATTCCAGTGAACTATGAAGCATGCTTGATTGACGCTCATTTATGTACGAAAATAAAATTTATTTACATCATTATACTCTTGATATCAACTATCAACCAATTTCATGTAATTATTCATCATGCATCCATATCAAGCACAATGGAAAATCTCTTAAGATCCACTAATTATTTATTGACTAAGATGGAAGGGGTCTTAAAAATAATTTAAAAAAAAACTTAAATATTAAACTAACTAATATATATGAAGACCTTAAAATAAACTAATACTAAATCAAAATAATATATTTAAAATCATATAATATGAAAATAATATTGAGAAACTCCCCTGAAAAACTGCATTTGTAATTTGGATATTTCTGTGTACTCCGTGTAATCAAGAGTTTCTTCTTTCGACCATGTGAAGTTTATGGTCTGATGAATTGCATAGTACCCATCCCCAGATTTAAATCTTGCTGTCCTCAGCAATAAACTTAAATCTAAAAGAATCCTAAGCAAGAAATCAGAAAAATTTGATACTGTACACTGCACACATGTCACAGATAAAGAAACTACGTCAGCATGTCATATCCAAAAAAAAATCATAGTCACGTCAAGATCAGTCTCAATATACATCTCATATCAACATGAACTAAAATCAACAAAAGAAAAAAAATCTAAACATTGAGACAATGGTCAATCCTCATCAATTTCAGTAGTGGGTGCAATATCATTTCTATCAGCATCCTGAGTAGTGTATGCAACCATATCAACATTAGTATTCGAGTATCCAGCATGTTTGCAAAGTTAGTGCAATTTCCACATAACAATTCCCAAATTTATATTCAGATGCATCTGAAAATAATAATGAGTATATGGAACTGAAATATTTTAACAGTATGCATAATGTCAAAGATGAGCGCACTTAAGCACAGTGATTCGAGCTTAAGCGCGCTGAGGCAGTGAGAAATGGATAAAAATTTATTTAGCGCGCTTAAGCGCGCTAGGGCCGAGAGAAATTTCACTTTTTTGGGGGCTTAAGCCTCCTTTAAGGGCTTAAGCTCTCAATACTTAGAAAATTTTCTCCATATTTTCCTATTCCTTGCATTCATCTCTACTGTGTATTCTTCCACCTCAATAATTCTGCTCAATATCATACACAAAACATATAAATGAATAAGAGTTGCGTACCTGTGTATGCTTTAATCCCACTTACACCTGAAAGTCCATCTCAACAGAATTTGATCATTAACCTCAATGTTTTTATTTTATTTTTATTTTTATGATATGACTAAAATAAATTATGCTAAGAATAATTAAAATAAGCTAAACTAAATTTAAAATACTATACTAAAATGTTGGAAAATAAAAAATATAGTTGGGTTGCCTCCCACAAGCGCTTGTTTTACGTCACGAGCCTGACGTACCTCTTTTATGTTCATGGTGGTTCAAAGCATGGGCTTGGTGATGACCAAGCTCTATCATTCAGAAATGGTGTCCTCCCATAGTACTCTTGTGCATATGAGTGAGATGAAGTAGGCTCAATAGCTTTGAATTTTGTGTTTACGTGTTTTCCCTTGCTCCTGAGCTTCTCCATTTTAACCTTTGGCTTACTTTCTTGAGAAGAATTCTCTTTGTGCTCTTCTTCTCCTTTCTTTTCACTAATATAGTAGACTTGATCTTCCGGTTGAATTATAGGTGAGGGAACTTCTTTATCAAAGAACTTGAAAATTGCTTGCTCCCCGTCTACCCGTAAGATCAACTCGCCTTTTGGTACATCAATCAGCGCTCCTGAGGTTGCCAAGAAAGGTCTTCCGAAGATCATAGGAATAGTAAAATTTTCCTCTATATCAAGGATGACAAAATAAACAGGAATGATGAATTTGTCAACCTTTACCAGTATGTCCTCAATAATGCCATAAGCTTGCTTTGTAGAGCAGTCAGCCAGTTGAACTATTGTCTTGGTTGGCCTTACTTCAGTGATCCCCAGTTTCTTCATCATAAATAGTGGCATCACGTTGATGCTGGCACCGAGATCACATAGAACATTTTTCACTTCCATATTGCCTATGTTGCATGGAATGCTGAATCTTCCTGGATCTTTAAGCTTTGGAGGCAACTTTTTCTGGATAATGGCACTGCATTCCTCTGTCAGCGTCACCGTCTCACATTCTTGTAGCTTACGCTTTCGTGATAGAAGATCTTTCATGAACTTTGCGTAATTGGGCATGTTCTCCAAGGCCTCAGTAAACGGGATATTGATTTGCAGCTTCTTGAAAATGTCAAGGAATTTGGAATACTGCTGCTTTTTGATTTCCTCTCTGAACCTCTGCGGATATGGAATCTTTGCATAAGGTGAGAGCTCCAATGGCTTTTCTTGCCTTTCTTGAGCTTTTTTTTTCTCCCATTTGAACTCTTTCTTTTCAGGAACAGTTTTCTCTGCAGCAAATTCTTTGGCAATTCCTTTTCTTTTTCCTTTTCAGTTGCAAGTTCATCATCTTTCTTTTTCTCTACTGAAGGCTTTACCACAGGTTCAATGGCTTTCTCACTCACAGTAGTAATCGCATTGCAGTGTTCCCTACTTGGATTTGGAATAGTGTTTCCTGGAAAAGTTCCTTGAACTCTTTCAGTGAACTGCTTTGATAGCTGGCCAATCTGAGTTTCAAGATTCCGGATAGAAGCTTCTTGATTCCGGAATGAGGCCCTTGTCTCTTGCATAAAGGCTGAAGTGTCCTCTCTGAAATTATTGGAACTTTGAATGTAGTCTGATGTGGTCTTGGATAGTTGTGCAAAGGCCTTTTCCCATTCTGATTGTTGTGGAGGTTGTTGTTGCACTGGCATAGGAGGATTCAGCTGATGGTTCGAACTGTAACGAAATCCCGGGTGTTGATTTTGATTTTTATTTCTCCACCCTTGATTTTGATTATTGCCGTATTGGTTCCTCCCTGGATTATATGGAGCTTTTTGATCATGCCAAATTCCATTAACATATGCAGTTTCGGGTGCCTGGCAGTCTTCAGTAGCATGAGTACCTGCACAAATATCACAAATGATAGCAGGAGTATTAACAGAAGAAACTTGAAAACTTGTAAATTGCTTTGTGAGAGCATCTAGTTGTTCTTGTTGTTTCTTGTTAATTTGTAAAATCTGTTCATTCTGAGCTAAGATGGCATCATAGCCATCAAGCTTCATAATCCCCGCTCTTCTCTGTGGTACTGGAGCATTATCATACTCCTGAGAGGCTAGAGACTCTAGTAATTCCAAGGCTTCCTCTGGAGTTTTTGTTTTTAAGGACCCTCCTGATGCAGCATTCACCAATGTTCTTGTGTTCGGCGTCATCCCTTGGAAGAAGGTTCTCGCTTCCTCCCAAGCTTCAATGCCATGTTGGGGACACTTCCTAAGTAGTCCCTTGAATCTTTCCCATGCTTCATATAGAGATTCACTTCCTTTTTGTTCAAAAGAAGTGATATCCGCCTTGAGCTTTGCCATTTTCGAAGATGAGAAAAATTTGTCCAAAAATTTGTTTGCCAAGTCGTCCCAGTGGGTGATGCTTCCTTGAGGTAACGATTGCAACCATCCTCTTGCTTCGTCTTTAAGTGAACAAGGGAACAATCTGAGCAAAATAGCATCCCGAGACACCCCATTCATCTTCAAGGTATCACAATATAGCAAGAAGTTTTCCAGATGGATGTAAGGGTCTTTCGTGCTTCCTCCGGCAAATTGGTCTTTCTGAATTAATTGTAAAAGTGCCGGCTTGAGTTCGAAGTTGTTAGCATCCACGTTTGGTCTAACAATACTCGCCGTCTGTGGAACTCGAGCAGGAGTCATGTAATCTCCCAACGTTCTCGGAGGTGGTGGAGGTGCATTGTTGTCTCCCATTGCTTCTTCTCTTGGTTCTGTTGAGCTTGAAGCTTCTTTCTCTTGCTGTCTTCTTTCTTTAGCAAGTTTTCTGTTTCTTTTTGCTGTTTTCTCTATCTCCGGGTCGAATTGCAAGGAATCGGTGTCAACGGTACCTCGCATAAACCAGAAAAATAGATTATATAAAATAAGAAAATAAAACTGAATTTAAATAACAGAAAATTAAATAACAGAAAATAAGGTCCAATCTAAAGAATTAATAGCTACTATTAATGTTGAAATAGTAATCCCCGGCAACGGCGCCAAAAACTTGTTGCTACTCACGGCAAGTGCACCGATCGTACAAGTAATATATGATTAAGTAAGAGATCGTTCCCACGAGGATTACGGTTCAAGCACTAATTCACTATCGCAAACTTAGTTGGACAATCGAAAGTGTATTTGGAAACAGGATTTGAATTGTAAAATTAAAATATTAAATATTAAGCTAATTACTTGCAAGAATTAAAGACAAGAATTTAAAGATGTGATTTAAGAATGTAAAAGAACGTAGCTAGGGGTTCGATTTCCTTTAATCTCCTTATTATGATTCAAAGTCCTTCTTTACGTTAACCGTCCTTAATATCAATCTAACCAATTCTTTCGCGTGTTATTAGAGCTCAATCCCTTGTTACCCTAAAACCTTTACAAACTTGAAAGAACCCTAGTTCCCCGGTTATTCCCCAAGAATGCAAGCATTAAGTTCAAGAATCTTAAGGTTACGCAAATTCTATGTCTATTCCTAGAATCATAGCGTTTACGATGAAGTTATCAGATATGGATCACACACCAACATCCCTATTGTCATGCATTTACCGATGATCATTATATAAGATTCAAGCCTATATAAAGCATTAAAAACAGATAACTTCATTCATGATAAAAAGGAAAATTAACGTACGAATTATTCAAAGCATAATAAATCGACTAAAATCCATCTAACTCTAACTACTTAAAGAACTAGCCGGACATGGCAAAATCAAGAACAAAAGAAAATAGAAAAGCTCCCCCAAACTCCATAGGTGATTGGTGGATCTTCAAAATCTCCAGTGAACACTTGACGTTGATCCGTCTCCGCCGCTCACGAACATGAATCTGATGTTTCTTCGCGTTCCCTCCGCCTCCAAGCACCCAAGAGTTGTTTAGCAATCTAAAAGTTATTCTTCTGGTTCCCAATGGTGTTTTTTTATAGGTCAAGAGTTCGTATCTTGATGAAACACCTTGAATGGGCCTAAGTTGGGTTTCTGGGGCGCTTAAGCTTGCTTCATCGCGCTTAAGCCCCCTAGAACGGTGATTGCAGAATTCGCGTTGCGCGCTTAAGCGCGCTGTAGGGCGCTTAAGCGCGATCTTCCAGTCAGAATTTTCTTCTTCCAGCGCGCTTAAGCCCTGAGTTAGGGGCTTAAGCGCCCATAGGCCGAGACTTTTTGCGTATTTTGGAGGCTTAAGCTTCCTTATTGGGGCTTAAGCTTCCATTGGCAGAGGCTATTTGCTTGTTTAGGAGGCTTAAGCTTCATGATGGAGGCTTAAGCTTCCTCTCTAACAACTTGATAAGATCTTAAATCTATCTTGTTTTTGATCTTCCTCTATCATCTCTTGATCTCATATCTTCTAGTTGTGATCTCTATCTATCCAATCTTCATCTTTTGACTCTTTTTGTCAACAAATCCCTAAAAAATAGCAAGGATGATTCAATTAAACAAAAATTCAGATAATGTTCATGATTATCCTATTAAAACCCTAGTTTTTGACTTGTTTAATTAGATAATTCATATTATTTTAGTCCATAAAACAAGATAAACTAAAGGTTTATCATGCATTCAAATATTTTTGTATGGTACGCTTTATCTTTGTGTTATTGCATGTTTCAATTTCTTGTGAGTATTTCATGGAACTATGAATATGGTTGAAGTGATTTCTCTAACATAGATTATCCCCTCTCAATAATTTTAACATCATTTGAATAACAGTAACATAGTAAAGTAATTCATAACTCTAATAGTTTGGAATTACTTTTTTTTTCATTAGATTAATCAAAGAAATAATTTAAAAGAGAGGAAAAGAAGAAAAAAAGTAAAAAAGAGGAATTAGGAATGAGAAAGGGAGAAATGAATAATTAGCTTAGAATTCATTTTTGATTTTTCACTCAAAACTATATTGTTAAAATAGTTTGGTTATGCTCAATCTGGTGAACTAGTCAAATCTCTCAACATCATTGTGGATACTTAATGCTAAATTATTTTGTACATCTTTATCAAGATTCGATATGAAAGATTGAAGGAAAGGGAAATAATTGCTTTTAAATATACTTTCTGGCTCCAACTAAGCTCTAAAGGGTAGAAAGAAAAGGATGAATGATGAAAACCAAAATCGTTATATTGTTTTATGTAAGAAATAATATAAGTTTGTCATGTAATTTCTGTATATAATAAAAGAGAAATATGTTTATGATATTGCATGAGATAATTTTGTTTCATTCAACAAAAAAAATAAAAATAGGTGAAACTCAATAAGGAGAAATAAAGAAAAAAAATAAATTCTACTCACTTTTTGTATATAATAAGATAAAATTATTTTATATAACATAAAATACATATTTTCCATAATAAAAATAATGGATACATTTCCTCACCAAAAATAAAATAAAAATAATGGATACATTGTAAAAAGATTAAAATACTTAAATCTAGAATTGAATTAGTTGAATCCATCACGACTTCAATCATCAATTAATATCTAAAAAATAAGCCGCTTCACCATTCAGAGTGACGGTGGCAATTTCCATCCATAATATTTATATATTTCACTCTTGTTATTTTGTGCACCTTTTCAACCGCTTTATTGCACTTTTTCCATTAATCAAACGTTTTCATTTTCCAAGTGTTATAATATATGTGTTACTGCAATACCAACCTAGTAAAAAATCACTATCATCGGTAATTAATAGATAATAATCACGGAAAGTTTGATGTAACTTCTGTTAAGAGCATGAATTTTTTTATTTTTTGGATACATTAAAGAATTGAACACACAATTTATTATATAACTACATACACCTTTCACCATTAGGCTAATTCTAATTACTTATTAAGGGCATGAATCTTCTCGCGGGGTGGGTAAAAATTCTATTCTCATCTCGCTATATTCTTCATGCATGAGAGTGAAAATTTCAGTTCCCCCGCCCTCCCCCTACCCACCCAAATTATTACTTTATGCTGAACGTAACTATCCAAGTCATTCTCACTCTAACCTTGCCTAGTCACCATTAAGAAAAGAAAAGAAAAGAATACATAAAGTGTTCTTTACTGATATTTTACATAATAAAGAACCATCGCACCAACCTCAATTGTAATTATTATAAAACAAGTGACATCGAATTTGGTGGATAAAATGGATTTAAATGTTGTCTTTTTATCGTAAAGTTCATAAGTTTGGTCTATCAAATATAATTGTTGTCCTCCACTTCTCCTCTATGGATAAGCATAAGATTGAACACCAAAAGTAATCTTGGACTTGGCAATAAATATGTGAATTTATTGATCTGATGAGGTAAACGAATCCAGAACACTAAATAAATTAAAGTAAGTTGAATACGTGTCAAATCATGATTGTATTAATTTTCATCAGGGGATTAAATTTTCTTTTCTATTCTGATTTTCTTAACGGGTAAAACTTTCAGAGTTAGAGATAAAGAGATCCATTTATATTGGTATAAGAGTTAATATTTTCACAATATTTAATAGTTTTTACAGTATATTTTTATTGATCCAACCATTGAAATGTAATTATTTATTGCCTTGACTGTTTGTGTCAAATATCATAAAAATTGAATAATAATAGGAATATAATCAAACCATTCTCATTTTCATATTTTCAGAAATATATATTACGTTACATTTGATGTATAATAATGATGTACAAAATAGTTTTACAAATATGATTTATATGATAGAAACTTTCAATCTAACATTAAATTTTGAGATTAAATTATCTAATAAAAAATTATAAAATGGTATAAGAGTGATTTTTACTTATACTATATAATGAATTCATTAATTACGTGAACCATTAGATATAAATAAAATCAATGATTAAAATTTAATAATATAACTTATATTGCCGTAAAAAAATCCCGACTTTTATACTATTAAAGTATTAATTGTTTAGATGAACTGCTAACTATGGTCTTATATTGATCAGCAAAGTCAAACGAAATAATTTTTTTTTTAATTTATAAACAAAAAATACATAGTATTTTTAGAAAAATTTTTATTGCAATATGAATTTTCTCAAAATATCTTGTAACTTTTTTCCGAACCCCAAATTCTATTTCTTATATTATACGTAACTTTTGTACACCTATATATAAAAGGCTTAATCTTTTGTGAATAATAACGATTAATATTTTGATAAATATTATTAAAACTCAGAAATAAAAATATAAAAATGAAAATATTGATAGTATTAAATTATAAAATTTAAATTTAAATTGAATGAAATTATGGGTGTATATGACAATCATTCTGTTCTCTAACACTGTTTCTAAAAAGAAATAATTCATTTCTGTTTCTGTACCTTGAGACATTTTTTGACATAAAAAATTTCTTTGATAACATGATCTATTTGTATTCTGAGAATGAGAATTGTGGTTGATAACACAACAAATATAGAATAAAAAATTATTCCTATTAAACACAAATTTTTTTTGGATCATCATTTTCTTTTTCATATGGTGTGGTGGTGGTGGTTGTGGCATGACAGTGGTGGCGGCGGCGGTGGTGACGATGGTAATGGTGGTGATGGCATGGTGGTAGTGGCGACGACAATGATTGCGAAGATGATGGTGGTAATAGTGGCGATGGTGGTGGTGACGGCAGTGGCTGCGGCGATGGGGGTGGTGGTTAGTGATTGTGGTGGCGTCGTGATGGTGATGATGATGGCATGGTGGTGGTGATGACGATAGTCGCTGCAGCAATGGTGGTGGCAGCAGCGGTGATAGTGGTGGCGATATTGGTGATGTCATAGTGGTGGTAGTGACGGCAATGGTTGCAGCGATAGTAATGGTAGTGGTGGCGTGGTGGTGGTGGTTATGGCATGATGGTGATGGTGATGACATGTGTCTGCGGCGATGATAGTGGTGGTGGTTGGTTACAGTGGTAGTGATGGTAGTGGTGGTGGTGGTGACGGTGATGGTGATGGTGATGATAGTATTAGTGGTGGTGATGATGGCAACGACAACAGTGGTGGTGGTGGTGACGATGACAACAGTGGTGGTACGACGACAGTGGCGACTATGGTGGGGGTGGTCGTGTCGGGATGGTGGTGGTGGTGGTTGTGATGATGATAGTGGTGGGAGTGATTGAGAGACATAAATGTTTCTCATTTTGTGCTCGAGAATAAAAAAATAGAAATTTTTGCTTTTTTCCTGTTCCTCAGCACATAAATTGAACCGGTTCTTTCTCATAAAAAAAAAAAAAAAAATCGATTTTGTTAAATATGGTTTCTATTTATTTCTGTTCACGAAAACAAAAATTGAAAAAAAATTTGTTTCGGGAATGTACACGTATAATATCAAAGAATATTCCGTTTAAATTATTAAAAAAACGACAACATGGCACAAAAAAAGTATAATTTATTTAATGCTTGGTCTCTTTTACCCATACTTGCCTTTCATTTCGAATGTATTATGTTTAGTTGTTCAGTATTAAGTTAATAATTCCCAAGTTGTCGAGAACATATACATATCTCAAGGATGGAATATGCGGACAACTGAAACCGGTTTCCATCATAAAGTGGATCCCATTAAGGTATCCAACGTCATGGATAAGACCACCTCAAAATTAGTATAAATTGGAGTGCTGAGTGCTGACACTTAATAATATTTAGAGATTAAGATAGAGATTAAGATAGGGATTAGAGAGAGTAATTAACACTCATGGATATAGAGTTCTTCAATATTCCGTCTACTGGCCGGAGCTCCGACGATGTCAGTTTTGCTGACACTGTTTTTGGGTTTTGGGACGATGTCCAGACCTCACCGGAAAATTCATCCGACTCCGGTAACGATGACGATGTTGACGGCGATGAGGATGACACTTTTTGCACGGTGGAAAAGAATAAAGCTTTCTGGGAAGAACAAGCCCAACTTCTCCAGGTACAATTTCTTATACCTCGGAATATTCTACATAATTTATGTTTAATAATTAAATTCGATGGCATTTTTTTTTTTTTTTTTGTTAAGCAAATTCGATGGCATTTAATATAGGGGAAGAATTCATTTTGTATTTTTTTTTTTACAAACTTTTATAAATTACACTATATATCTATATATACATTACTACCCGAGTACTTCCGAGAGTATAGTGTAATTTGTAAGAATTTATAAATAAAAAATTTATAAATATAATCTTCTTTTTTAATATATGCAAAAAATATTTATTATTTATCTCTTACAATTTTAAAATAATATTATTTTGAAGTTTAGAGGAAAAAAATATAAGGTAATTCTCTGCTGCAACATAAATTTTCGTAAAATATTTTGCATCTTTAATATGAAACTCTAAAATGACGTGATTCTGAGACGCAGAAAATAATTTTATTTTTCATGTAGAATAGGTATACTCTTAGTCTTAATTATATATAATTAAATAACTGAGACATTTTACTACAAAAAAATATAACTGAGACATTTTTTTTTTCTTTGTTATTTTGGAGAATGAAAATTAACTTTTCTCCTGTTTAAGTAGAAAAAGTACTCTCTTAATTATATATAAATAAATAACCGATGTTGTTTCCATTTTCGAAGGCAACTTTGTGCAAGACTAGCTCACGAGAGATAAAAGTTCGGGAAGCTACAAAGGAGGCTCTAAGAGAATTGAACACATCGGAGATGCCGTGCATTTGCCGGCGGCCGGTGGTGGCTAAGAGTTGCCGGAATTGCTTGCTTAGAGAAATATGTAATCGATTATTGAACCTTGGTTACAATTGTGCCATTTGCAAATCTAAATGGAGGAGTTCATCGGAAATTCCATCAGGTATATATATATTAAGCGATAAGAAATTATGTTTATTTTTTTTATATCTACTTTATTTATTTCTCTCCAACATAATCAAATACAATTTTAATTGACCTTTATCCTTTTTCTCTCCTCCCACTTGAAATTACGAGAGCAAAATTATTTGGAATTATTATAAAGAAGTCAACCCATAATTCAAATTGTTATGAGAGCAAAATAAATTAAATTATCAATAAAAAATGATCAAATGGTATTTAATTTTTTTTCCCTTTTCTTTTTGCACGCAATTATTTCAGGGGAGCATACTTACTTGGAAGTGAAGGATAAGTCGTCAAACGCTAGAAGAGGGGAAGTAAAAGTGGTAATTGAATTGAATTTTCGAGGCGAATTCGAAATGGCAAGGGCTAGTGAAGAATACAACCAATTAATTAGGCGATTACCCGAAGTATTTGTTGGAAAAACAGAGAGATTACGAACATTGGTTAAGATTATGTGCTCAGCTGCTAAAAAATGCATGAAGGAGAAGAAAATGCACTTAGGACCATGGAGGAAACATAAATACATGCAAGCTAAGTGGTTTGGCACATGCGATAATTCCACAATGGAAACACTTCCGACAGTGTACTCTACCAAGCCACCAAAAACTAAGGCTTCAATGCTTACTTGCGATTTATTAGATAACATTCCCAGCTTGCACTGTACTGCAGTTGAGGTTGTGTGAATTATGAAGAATCTTGTTTAGCATTATATGTAATAATATTATGGATTAAAGATTTTTCATGTCACATAATAAGAATATCTTCTCTTATACACATAATAAATATGTGGATCTCATTGAAAAGAAAAAAGAGAAAAATTTCAGTGGATCCACATATTTATTGTATGTATAGGAGAAAAAATTCTTCTTATGTAACATAAGAAGTCTTTAACCCTAATATTATACGATTACATTTTTGTAACAATTAGTAAGTTAGTTTGATGATCAAGGTTTTGAGTTGACCGTACCATGGATGATTATATATTAAGGGGAAAATTCTTCTTTTTTTTCTTGCATATGTCGCTGCCCAAAAGAAAATTTGTGAGTCATGCCTCTGACCACAGATAAAACTTCAAATAATATGGAATTGGAGAGCGCAGAGGCCTTGAAAGAAAGGAAGAATGATCCCCATCATTTTCTATATATTTGCCCCTATTTTCAAAGATGTAAGATTTTTACACAATATTGAATGACAGAATTGGCGAGTCATGCATGGCCATGGGTCACGAGGGGAGGGCTTATGGGTGAGTGAGGGTCTCTCTTTTGAATCTTTACAATATGTGAGGGAAGACAGTGAACTTAACCAGAAAACTGAACTCCAGAACCAAAAGACAAACATAGTTGCATAATCTTTTCTTTTTTAGTCTCCTCAATCGGTTTATTCTTCATATTAGTTTGGTTTGTTTTTTCTATTCTCAGAACTCGAACTTAAAATCTCAAATTAAGGGACATAAACTCCTTACCATTTGTGTCAACAATGTATGATATGTTTGCATAATCATTAAAAATAATACTAACATAAAAAATAATTAAAAAATAATTTGCTATAATATATTAATTCCAAAAACCCTAAGACTTCTAATATTATAAAAACTAATCTCACTTGAACTCAGTGGCGGAGCCAGCATGGCATGTTAGCAAGTGCCAAAAAATTTCAGGTAGTGCCCAAATAGCCACGGTTGTATGGCTACGACCAAAACGTGGCTAATTTTCAAAAAAATTGAAACAGAATTTGCTACATTTCAAGTGTAGCTAAACGAACGTGGCTAAATAAGCCAGTGCCAAGGTAACCGCTGGCTTCAACGTGGCTCCGCCACTGCTTGAACTAGTGTTCGATCAGAGGTAATCGTGATTAATATAGAATTTGAAAACTGATGATATCTATGGAGGAAATAATCCCTTGAACTAATATGTATTTGGGTTAACCCTTTATTTAAAAATGAGGGCTTACTTAAAAATGATAGGTTAAAAAAGTACGTTAAACTTCAACTTAACAAAACCTATCACTTTATATATTCTTTTGTTAAGTTGAAGTTTAACGTATTTATTTAAACATCTTTTTAAACATAGCAGAGGTGGAATGAGCGTTTAACGTATTTTTTTAAACATCTTTGTGAGGGGTTTAAAACCTTAATCTTAAATCTGTCTCGAACAAAATTTTCTCCCGTGGAAGATACCTATGGTTTATCCAAAAAGAAAAAAGAAAAAGCGTTTAACATATTTTCCTAATCTTTTCTTAAACTGTATTATAGACTTGACATAGAGGTTCATACTTTAGAAGGCCCAAGACCGACTAATAGTACTAATTCTAATACGGTAGTAAATGGATCAAGAACTTGATCCTCAATATTTCTAAGAGACTTAAAAGTTCACTCTTGCCAGATAGTGGTGGACTTAGAAAAATTTATTTATGTCCACACATTTAGTGGTGGGGGTTTGGGGCAGTGCCCCCGAATTTTTTTTTTTAAAGAAATATTTAAATACATTAAAAAATAAAAGAATGTAAACAAGAAAAAAAAAACTTAACCGTAACAAAAGAATATATAAAGTGATAGGTTTTGTTATATTTATATTGAAATACTAGTCACTCATTCAGTATCAAGTAATGTTGTTAAACTCGGCTCAATCGAGGTATTAGGTTAGTAAGTCAATGGTTGAATCGCATGACCCGATAAATATATATAAATTTATAATTTATATTAAAAAATATAAACATATTCAAATACCTATACAAATATATACCAATTCCAAATATTTTAATATGAAAAATAATAAATCACATATCTTTATTTTGTAACTTGAATCATCTTTCTACAGTTGAATATATATATATATATATATATATATATATATATATATATTGAAATATTAATTATTTACTAAGTTAAAAATTGAGATAAAAATTTCTCAGTATAAGTTATTATTATAAAATTATATTTTAATAAAATCAAATTCAAGCATAAAGTTCACTTTTGGGTCTACAAAAAAAAAATTGTAGTATCTCAAGTTATATTTGGCCCATTAAGTTAAAAAAGGATTGAACTGGGCCAAATTTTACAAGGCTAATATTCACATTAACATTTCCATCCACGAGTCCTGTAAAAAACAATAGCCGTCGTTCACTTCATCTTCGTTATTTCTTCTTCCCTCCTTCCCCCTTTCCTCTGTAATTTTTTTTTCAGAAGTTTTTGTCCGCACTTGTGGACATTGGAGCATAAGTAGATTAGGTAACCCATCTATAAATAAGGGACTAAGCCAATGAGGTAAACACATTCTAAACCCTCTCTCTTATCTATCACTGTGCACATACCCCATCCTTTGGCTATGTTAATGCTACACTGATCTCTAAGGTGTATCCCTCGTAGATCTCTGAAAAAGGACACACACAGATCCAATATAAATATACTAATTATTAGATTAGATATCTTTGTCAGGACAAAACAAAGTGGATATTAAATTTTGATCAATCTAGAAAAATTGGAATGGATATATATATATATATATATATATATATATATATATATATATATATGGGGTTTATATTTCTGCAGCTACTGTACGTACAACAGTAAAATACTTACCATATATATACATGAAAACATTAAACATGGAAAATCATAACCATACAAAAGATAATAGCATTAAATGTGGAAAATCATAACTATACGCATGTCCTTGTTATACGTAAAGCGGCTGTAGAAATGATTTTACCATATACATGTATATATATATATATGTATGAGTTCAATTTTTTGCAGCTGTTTTACGTACAATAATGATAAATATATATATATATATATATATGTATATATATATATATGTTAAAGCATTAAATATAAAAAATCATAACTATACAAAAGGTGAAAATATTAAATGTGGGAAATTATAATCATGCATCTCTCGTTGCTGCACGTACAATAGCTTTAGATATGATTTGACCCCCCTCTCTCTATATATATATAGGAGCGAGTTCTTTTGACTCCAAGTCAGAACAAAGAACTACAAAAGAAAATTCAGGGGAAACTATCTAAGCGGTATCTGCCCACTTTTGCAAGATCTGCAAGAAATAAGGGCACATTTGTTTGAGGAGAAAATTTATGAATAATAGGGAAATATTATTACTAGGAAAATGGTTGGGAAGTGAGTTTGGTAGGAAAATGTGAAAAAAGTTGTTTGATTGGAAAAAAATTTACCGGAAAAATTAGGTAAATTTTATAAAGTCTATGTTTGGTTTTAGATAAAATATAGATGTGAAAAAAAGTTGCTATTACAAACATAACCATGTTTTTAAAAAAATTTCACTTTCACGCTCTCTAGCAAGGGTACGCTCGTCATCTGATTATTTCCCAATGTGACCATTTAGGTAGACAACCCACAATACCACATCTCAAGTAGGAATATGTGGCCATCTATCTTGGTTCAATAGACATGCAAATTGGTAAGCTGGGATACTGATTTAGGTAGGCAAATATTGAAAACAATTCAACCAAACAAGGTCACCCTACAATCCCACTTCTTCAATGCTTATCTATCTCATCAGATTCCTCCAATCAAACACACCCTAAGGGGCTGTTTGGTTGAGGGATTCTGGGGAGAATGATAGATAAATGAAGAGTGGGGAAATTGGAAGCCCATGTTTAGTTGAGAGAGCATCATGATTTACCTACCTAAATTTGTTTCCTAGCCAACCAGTTTCTCCATGATTTTTAAGGCAGATAGCCGGCCAAAATAACCCTCTGGTGAGGAGGTATTTGCAGTTATCTATGTTTTGGTCATATTGTGTTATTTGTTGAAAGACGAGCGTTGTAACACCCCGTATATATCCGGTAATGTTATCATACTATCGTATTAAGCTGTGCTTAATTAAAAATGCGAAATATCTTTTTCTTTTCAATTATGACGTCATTATCATTACCAACTTGCTTAATTAATCAATCAAGTAAAATCATGCCTGTATGTAAATTGCAAAAGACATCTAACTGAAATACCTCATTAATTAAAATAACATAAGTATGTCTCTAGTCACGGAGCTACCACACGTAGACCGGACCAACTACCAGTTTATACAACTCAGACTAAAGGTACTAACAACATAGTGGCATGGACAACTCTCATGCTCACCTGAATAAGGCAACAAAGCCCAATAGAAAGTCTCAACTCAAATCATAAAGAGCAGAAAACATAAACAGCATCCAATCCAGTCATGTCAGCAATACAGCATAAATATCATAATCAGCTAAGCTCTAGCCTCCTGCCGCCAGAGGCATCGGTCACCATACTACCTGAACCTGAAATAAGCATTTTCCAAACGTGGGGTGAGATCTCTAAACAAGAAATCTCAGTAAGACAAGGGGTCCTCAAGGATCTTCCACCCCAAGCTCACTTACATGTGCAATATAAGTTTAAAAGCAATTTATCATCATCAGTTCTAAAATAGTGCAATGCAGCAGATAATCATGTCATGTGTGTCAATTCTATTCTACTGGCCAGATAAATGCAGGATTTATATACGTCTAATACCCACACATAGTGCAAAACGCTACTTGCATCCACCCCGGATCACCGTCTTGTATGACGCCACATACTCAGGCTTACTGTCAAGATGGAACAACACATGCATATTAAAAGTCATTACACATAAAGCTCAATAGCATTTCAAATATTCAAAGCATGTAACACAGCAT